TCATATGAACAAGATGGCGACTTTGACTATTGCGCGGACCAACGAGTATACCGTTACCATTGCTTTAACTAGGTAATTTCGTTGGTGATTTGAAGGTGTCGAAGGAGTCATCGACGGCAATTGGTGCACGTCGCGCTCAGATCAAAACTCGTACTCGTGATTTCCACTGGAAGGACGCATTCGGTTGTAGGTAAAGCATTGTTTATCAACACAAATGTCGCACATGCGCGACGACCACCGCCCTTAAGTATTAGCTAATTATAGTAACATGAAATGTACACTGAGTACCCTCCATTCGCAGTCACGTCAGGTTAAACGTGGAAAAGTGCAGCGAATCGTTCTACGTTTTATGTACCCCAGTTATGACCGTAGATGGTGCTCCAGTATCCAAACTCACTGCAGTTGTAGATTTTACAGGTCAACGTGATACAAGTTATATCCGCTAAACTATTTCAGTTTCAAATTCTGTAAGATAAAATAGCATGGCATATAGTAGAATATGATTTCGTGAACATAAAATATAGTATTTGACAATGTATGCATGTACAGTCGCAGTTCTAAAGAATTTGGCTCATCTGGCTGGTATCCCGAGTCGCTACGGTTTTGTCGCATCCAACTTTTTACGACTCAATGATGTTAATTGTACATTTTAAATATTGTTTTGTTTTCTTAGGCGCCAAAGCGGTAGCTGTCCCAGGTGAGCTCCGTGGCTACAAAGCTGCACATGATCGTTTTGGTGTGTTACCATGGAAACAGCTATTCCAACCAGCAATACGAATAGCCAACAATGGTTTCACTGTCAGTTCACACCTTTCCAAGGCGCTCCGAGAATTAACTCTTGATCCATCTGTGGCATTCACAGATTTTACAATATTATGGTGAGTTTGTAACATCATATTTGCAATGGTTTGTCGACACTACGTGTATGCTAGGCCATTTTTTGCGATTCTCTAGGTGGAGAATAACACTCACCAGAAGCGCGGTCATGTTTTCGAAAATAAATCACTGACTAGAGGATCACCATGCAGCTTACCGTGTTGACGCAATTTGATTAAAATAAGATCTTTTTTTATTTATTATTTTACATTTTTTTTATTTTAAATATTTTATTTATATATTATGCTATAATCGCGAAATGCCACAAGACGATAGTTGAATGGTAAAAATAACATAACATACACGAAATAAAAACAAACACGCCACATAATACGTAATGTTAGCACTGAATAAATGAAAATGTGTTTCACTGATAAAGGTTGCTGTATGCAGAAGATGCGTATACAGAATGGAAAAGTGAAGGCGATAACATGACAAGACCAGTACTTGCCAAGTTGCTTGAACTGATTGCAGAAAATGGTGCAGATGAGTTTTACACTGGTAAAACTGCAAAAGCACTTATAAGGGATATTCAAGAAAATGGTGAGTACAGATGTGAGCTTATATAGGTGGAATGGGGACTCCTGGTTTAACATGGCATGGTAAAACAAATCCCGACTTTGATTATGGATGATTGGTTGAATCGCATTCTGACACTTACAGGTGTTATTCGATGTTAGACGAAAGGCATATATCTTTACATAAGTAATTATTCGTCTTTGTCGATGGTGTAGTGCACTTATCAAAAAACGGCTCAAGAATTTCTCGTATTTCCATAGGTGGTATCATGGCAACAGAAGACCTTAGTGAGTATGAGGTCAGAGTTGACGACCCTCTTGTGGTAGAAATAGGAGATTACACTGTGATTACACCGCCGCCACCGACAAGTGGTGCAATCCTAGCATTCATGCTGAAAGCTCTTCAAGGTATGGTATTAGCTGAATGTTATATTTATGAAACACAAAATGTTTTTTTAGATTGATCCTAACGCTGCCAAATGGCAATAAAATAAAATAAAATAAAATAAAATTAAATTAAATTAAATTAAATTAAATTAAATGATGTATGTATATATGTATCGCAGATTATAACAGGATTCACCATATAAACGAACGAAATTGACAATACTCGACTAGAGAGGGCGCCATTTCACAGCAACCACGCCGGTGCCAGGAGTTGCAGAAATAATGCATTAGATATATCGTTACCCTTTTGCTTGTACACACATTAAGCAGTAAGCTCTAGTGTCAGGCTATGAAATCAACGAAATGGAATTGAAGTACGCAAAACTCTTCTTCCGCGAATTCAATATAAACTATAAATATTACATCTAATTTGCACTGAATTATGTATTAAAGCGGGAGGGTCGTCACTTGCGGAATTTAGTCCCAAGCGACGATAACAACACACAAAGGCTCATGGGTAGACGCTTGTTTGTAAACATTGACACGCTGAGGTACTCCAAGAACGCAAACCTCCGCCTCAATCAGGTTGTTTTTATTATGCGATTACCGGTTTATAAGTGCTGAATTAAACCAAAGGCAATAATCATATGACCGTATATTAATAGGATTGACCTTCGCCATATCTGCAAAATCCTTACAAACACCTCTACTATATTGTATTAACCATATTGACTTCCATACTGAGTATTGAACACTAGTATTTAAAAATGAGCCAGTTTGGCAACGGTAAATAATCCGTCCAAATTGTGCTCTCTCCATAGCAACTGGATTTAGAATCTTCTAATGTAATCACGAGTTTATATCTGACTGAAACCCCTACTAACAATCAAAAACAGTTGTCGTTAACTTTTTTGAATCTAACAATAAACTAGATCTAACTGGTTGGTTCATGTAGGTACATTTCCCTTCTAAAAATAGCTGAATTACAGATACACAATTGTTCTCAAAATTGCTGTTTCCATGGCAACTGGTTCCGGATGACTCATAACATCTAATTAATTGATACGTGAGTCAGTGGTAAACCTTACTGAATATATCATGAGGAGCCATGCATAACTTTTAGAATTACAAATAAATAATCATTTCAGAAATTGGTGATTCCATGGCAACCGTGATTGGTTCTTGTGCCAAGGGCGACCTCTCTTTCATGAGAGTCTATCGATTCGACTTATCTTGCTTGCAGACAAACAAATAAATAAAAACAAGTCTGAAATTTGTAACACAGTAAAGACCTATGCTCGCTATGATACAATTGCCAAATATTCTCCGAAATAAAGAGTGGCTATTTACCAATGCTGGTATTACACCACTGGATCGCAGCAGCAATCTGCTTATTTTAATTCCCCAAGCTCATTGTGACTTAACTCGCCATGCATCATTGGAAAAAAGCGTTTGTGAAAATAACGAAGCCCGAAAACAGGATCAGAGCATTCAGAAAGAATTTATTTAATGATTAGCGGGATATCAGTTCAGTTGATATCGAATTCAACCCACCTATGTATACGTATACGTGCTAACGTCAAATTCACCCTTAACTGGCGTGATTTTCAACGCATTTATAATTGATTTAAATTTTTCTTGGTTATGTTTATCTGAAATATTCGTGTGCACCTCGACCCTTAGCTGCAGCGCCGCCAGACGGGATTGCATTTTACCACCAATTTATCGAGACGTGTAAGTTTGCTTTTGCCCAGAGAAGCAAAATTGCTGATCCAGTATTTGAAGATGTGGAAGCAGTAAGTAATCTAAATGTGGTATTTTTTAATTTTGCTCGTTTATATTTTCCTTCCACAAAGATGCTACGAATATTGAACTATTACATATATATGTACTCTTCAAATTATTCAAATATGATTTTACGATGATAATGCGGATGCGTTTGTTGAAAGTGTCACAGTTGTCGTGTAGCACACGTTTGAACGTATTTCACATGCGTTGTATACGTCACGTGGACCCACATAGAACACTGTGCGTCATGACGACTGTGACGTACTCTACCCATCGAGAGCTAAATGAAAAAATGTGATTGAAAAAATAAAAACTAATATCAACCATGCTTTGTTTACTTTTAAAGGCTGTAATGAGCCTCATATCGCAAGAATTCGTGGATGAAGTAGTTTCTATTATCAAACGTGGGCAGCCAACTTATGACACAGTGCATGGCTATGGAGATGTCTTCGTGTCTAGTAATGCAGACCGTGATAACAATCTGGGCGGCACACACATATCCGTCATCGCTGTCAATGGCGATGCTGTTTCTATGACGTCATCACTATCCTCAAAGTAAATTTAATTTTATATTATTTATTATTATTTACAATTCCACATTATGTCAACACATGTTTATCAACAGACTCATTGTGGACGCATTTATCATTAAGAGTTTTGTATTTGCACCCGTGACCGTGACAAAAGCATGAACACACTAGTACATACAATACATGAATACTAGTTGACGTGCAATTATACGAACTTTAATTTGAAACACAAATTGCTTTATATGTTGTTGTCACAATGAATCGTATTACAAGCACGAAGAACAAAATGATGTTATTTGATTTTGTTATTTATTTCATTTCTAGTTTTGGTTCGCGTTTTGTATCTGAAAACACAATCGTCCTTCTCAATAACCACATGTCTGAATTTACGCTGGATAACTCCAATACAATAAACAGTATAGCACCAGGGAAACGTCCATTGTCTTCTATGGCACCGTCTATAGTGCTGGATAATCAGAACAACGTTACCATGGTAATTGGAGGAACTGGAGGCGAAAGAGCGGTACCCTCAATCGCAATGGTATGTAATTTACATTTTCACAGGAACGCTTGCGGGTGACTGTGGGTGTTTGTGTGGATGTCTTAGATTCTGTTGTCAATGCAAGGGCAAACTTTTCTGACTGAAATAAAAAAAAAGATTTCCTGCAAGACATACTGTTAAAAAACGTACAGACTAGTACACTTATCCGTTCCGGGTATGCAGTTTTATAGTCATTGGCAATGTTTTATAGTGTTGTATCACGATCACTTCAGTGTTCAGTGTTGTTTATTACCAGGTGATGTATGAGATACTTTATTTAAACCAAACCCTTGCTGATGCCGTGAATAACGCACGACTCTATAACCCACTGGATCCTAATGTTGTCATTTTTGAAAAGGAATTATCCAAGGTGAGTGTGATCGTTATTAATATATAGAAAAAAACAAATATCACACCTTTTATTTAAAGATATAATATAGACGAACAAATTTTTTTTTTTAATATTGTTGTCCGATACTCCATGCTGTTGACTAAAAATCTACGATTTATCGTAATCTGAACATTTTGCATTTTGCAAGACAAACAACAGTATTATTAGATGAAAATTAAAATAACTATTGCGCATGTGCAGTCACAGTAATTGTTCGTAACAAAACAACCAGTGCACTTATGCATATGAGAGAATTTCATTTTTTTATTGAACTAATGTGCTACAAGAACTGCATTTTTAAGCTCATGTTAAAGCATAGTTCAATGTATGTATTAAAGCGGGGGAGTCGTCACCTGCGCATGCGTCAGATGGCCATAGCGTGTCATTGTTTACAAACAAGAGTCTACCCATGAGCCTTTGCGTTTTTAGCGTGTGTTGTTATGGTCGCTTGGGACTCAATTCCCGCGCGTGCGCAGGTGACGACCCTCCCACTTTAATATACAGTATCGAACAACAATATTAAAAATTACATGTACTCACCCATATTGCATCTTTAACGAATTATCCACTTTTTACGCCGTAACTATTATGTTATGTTTTACGCAGGCTATTCGAGATCAACTACAGGTAATTGGACACGCTCTGCAACAATTCGACCAAACTGAACTGTTTTCATCTGTTGAATCCATCCTCGTTCAAGACAATACAATTGAAACCGTCCCTGATTTACGTAAACCTGGGTTGCCAGCAGGATATTAACCATAATATAGCGCATTTGCTTGTCCACTAAAATGTGCTATAAGTTGTGATGAATTTGTGCCACGGCTGTCTCAAATTGGCCAATGGGCGTTCTGGAATGCGGTAACCTGGCAAAGGAGATAACAGCTCTGGCTCCCAGTATGCCACAAATCAAGCTACGCGTATTCATAGTCACGATGTGATTGGCAGAAACTTCCCAATTCGCGACAGGCGTGGTACAAATTAGTTGAATCATAGTCATTAAATGGTTACTGCACATAAATCATCACGTGACCATGATTTGACTATTACGTAACGTAGTGTATACTCCACTCCACTTTCACTCGGACGAACGAAGAATGAATACGTATCGATGTTTATTGACATGGTGACAACACTTGTGGGCCACCGTATAATCAAGGTAAAATAACTGCCGAAGATTTCTGATGTCTAAAACGTCAATGTCTGTAATATACGAGCTTCATCCGTAAATGGGAAAAGAAGCGGTACTTATTCGGAGTAGGATCTTTAAAGATGATTAAACTCTCAAAATGGAATATATTAAATTGATTAAAGTTAAATGTATACACTGAACAGATTAAGTGATTTATATCAAATTGCAATCAGTTCGAACAAATCCGTCATTTGATTCTGTAAAATAAGGATGTGGTTGATACGGTTCAGAGAAAACACGTTCCAAAGGCGCAATAATTAGAGATTGCCATAGTAATATTGACTGCCGTATGCTTCTTAAAAGCAACAAAACTTATATATTGCCGATGAATATCGAATGACGAACGTGCAAAGTGCATACGATATTTCTGGAAGCCATTAATTTGGTGTTCCCTTTTTTTTTAAAAAAAAAAGATCAGTTTTTGCATGATACAATTTCAGACATAATGCAATTTCATAGAAGAAGGTTTAGCGATTTTGGTTATTTCCTTTGGTTTCGGCAAGGTTGTAATATATTGTAAGCGTTAAATAGAAATGAAACTGATTTCGTGTTTAATCGAATGTATTGCAGATGTACACACCAATGAACCCTCATCATGTTGTATAATGTGGCCGTTCGTTAACACACGACATTTTTTTAAATAAATCTGTAAGACTATTACAGCGTCCATATTTAGATTTAAGTCTGTGGTGTGAGATCAATTTGATGTGGGACTGAGGTGGTGTGGGACCGATGTGATGTGGTATCTATGTGATGTTGGACCAATGTAATGTGGGACCAATATGATGTAGGACCAATGTGACGTGGGACCAATGTGATGTGGGACCAATGTGGTGTGGGACCAATGTGCCGTGGGACCAATGTGATGTGGGACCAATGTGTCGTGGGACCAATGTGATGTGGGACCAATGTGATGTGGGACCTATGTGACGTGGGATCGGTGTGATGTGGAATCGATGTGATGTGGGACCAATGTGATGTGGGACAAATGTGACAGGGACCGATGTGGTGTGGGACCTATGTGGTGTGGGACCGATGTGATGTGGGACAGATGTGACGTGGGACCGATGTGATGTGGGACCGATGTGACGTGGGACCGATGTGATGTGGGACCGATGTGACGTGGGACCGATGCCTAAACTCATTTTTCTGCCATATGACATCATGCTCGCAATACCGAGGATAACTTTCGATATAGGTAAACAAAGACAAACGCAGGTCAACTTATTGAACGCAATTTGATAGATGAAGTTCGCACAGTAGATGAATATAACAAGCTGACACTGTAGTTTAATATGTTGAGTATGTGCAGTATTTGAATAGATTTAGCTAGTACAACATTTCAAGTTCACGCATTATTTCCACATTATGTAACAAATATGATATGGAGCTCACACACTAGTTCAACAGATCGTACTCGTATAGAAACAATTCAACAGTAGTTTACGGTGGCCTGTCATGTTCATTCCACAGCAATTGGTTGTATTTCACCACATAAGCAGACAACATTAATGGTATTGGACACTACAATTCACAATCAGTGTCAACGTGTTAAACATTGTTTATGTTCGTTAGTGATGTCATCTATTTAACAGCCTTCTACAACATCCAATCGTCGTGAGTTGAATGCATTATGTATGTTTGTTCAACTTACAAATTATCACTAGATCTCAACAAAGCTATTCATTTTAATCGACATATACACTGACCACCAACAGTTTTCACTTTTTACAGCATGATAACTCCACCGCAATTGTTTATTAATCACTATCATGCCATGTTCAGCTTATTGTCACTCGTCGTGTTTAAATTATACATAATGTTCAATATTTCATAGTTAGTTTAGTATTACCATATTCTAACGGGCCTCTGTGTACAAATCAAAGCC